GCTCGACTGAGCCGAGTTGAAAGGCAAAGCTGGCCGAGTGGCAGGCCGATGGCCAGCCGACAGCCTGCTTCTGACAGCTGGGCAGAGCCAGCCGTGATCATACGGCTGGCTCCGGCCACTTGCAGAGAGATCAGCGTCCCTGGTTACCAGGTAACCAGGAACACTGATCTCCAGACAATCCAACTCTCCCGGGCGCTCTGGGAGTCTCCCACTATTAGATAGCGTCTCCCGGCCGCCCGGGAGAGAAACACTTTCTCCCAGAAAGGTTTACTCTGCTTGATCGAGCAGAGTAAACCTTTCCCTGCTTTCTTTCTTTTTTATTCTGACATGGAGCCGTTGGCTGCCGTCAGAATAATAATTACAAAAAAACTTCACCATAGGAATGCATAGCTAGATTCCTATTGGCTATTTCAATTTGCAATAGCCAACAGCAAAGAGCTATGCATTTCTATGGTGAAATTTTTGTAAAAAATTTTTTTAAGGCAGCAGAACCACCCAGCCAATAGAAAACAGTTGGGCGGAGCTAGCTGTGACTGCTAGCTCGGCACAATCGTTTTCCATTGTTTTTTTTCTACTTTTTTTGCTATACTGCTATTTTGCTATACTGCTTGGTGCCACAGAGGGACCGAGCAGAACAGCTGAGCGGCATTCGGCTATTTACTCACTGCTGTTCAGCATCTATGAGAATAGACCGAACAGCAGCGAGTAGCCTGCCGGAGGTTCGGCTTAGCCGATCCAAATGTTGGATCGGCTGAGTCAAACTCCTTCTGCACTTCGGGTCGGCCGAACATGCTGAGCCACACAAAGCCACCCGATGTACGGCTGATTTCAGCCAATATATGGCTGAAATCAGCCTTATAAGCCTGAAGTGAATAGCCGAACAGCGTTCGGCTCACTTCAATTCGGGTCAGTTGTTCACTCAGCTGCCTACGGCAGCTTAGTGAATAGGCCCTAAGACTAGCCATGCACCTATAGTTTTTGCTCATTCAGCCCCGTGGGCTGAACAAGAAAAAACTCTTGTGTTCTCCATCCATGTTAACAGTGTGAATAGGGGAATTCCCCCACCCCCCGGGGTATCGTATTCTGACAGGCAGTTACTGTTCGGTTGAGAATTTTCAGACCAGTTCGATTGGAAAATAATCTTTTGTTGAATGGAGGGATGCCAACGGGGCCGAAATTCAACCAGTGTTTGGCCCCCTTAAGATACTGGATCATAGATGACCCAGTTATGTAAATCACGTATTGTTCTCAGCTGTGTTTGCAAATATCTGACAGAGTTCAGCCCCCTCTTGCAGACTTTTACCTTGTGCTACAAAGTTACAATGTTGCAATCTAGATAGTGGGGAAGAAGAGACTGAGGAAATGCTTCCTAGTGGCTGCAGCAGACTGGTAACATAAATTCAGCCTAGGCAAAGTCTCTTGACTGAAGCTCATGAGCACCTTTTTAGTGATAAAAGGTAAAATAGTTTTTTTACAGAGAAACTAAACTCATGAGTTAAGCCTTTAAAATGCATTCAAGTACCTTAACTATTAACAAACATGTATCTTATTTGTGTATCATTTGGCTGTAAATCCTCAAATCATCTCTGAATTGGTGCTGACACTGTCCTTCCTTCAGGAGGGTGGCTACTTTTGTTCTGCATGGTCCCTGTGTGTTGTAAAGTAGCCATCACTCCAAGCTCACTCCTGTGATGAACTACAATGTCACAATTAGTTTGCTAATTTGGTATTGAGATTGTAGTCATCGCAGGAGCGAGCTTAGAGGAGTGGCTACTTTACAACTCACACGGGGAGAACAAAAGTAGCCACCCTCCAGAAGGAAGGACAATGTCAGCATGAATTCAGAGATGATTTGAGGGTCAACAGATGAGTGATACACAAATAAAGGTACATTTGTGTTAGTAGGTAAGGCAGTTACATGTATTTTCAAGGTTTTACTTCTGAGTTTAGTGTCGCTTTAATTTATAATGTTACGGTATATTGTGGCATGTGAGCAATGTACTCATGCAGATATGTAAATTGATTAAAAGTCCACTTTAAATTTAGAGTGTAGTCAATAAGCTAGCTGATTTTAATGCATGAACAGTACACTAAATAACACCTTCTAACATTGCCAAGACTATAATCTGGTGGGCCTCTATTTATCTTATGTCAGAAATGTTTTGGCCGGAGGTCTTTCTGAAGCTTAGAGGTCTCTGACAACAAGTCAGGGACATTAAGTAAATAGTAATTGAATCATGTTTACGGAAACGTCTAAGTGATTGTGTTCTTCTGATCTTTTGACATTTGAACTTCTGTTCCCTTCTGTTAAGCTACGTGCAAGTGTTATAAATAACAGTACAGTGTTTATTGTTATATGCCCAGCAACAGTGTGGCTGCATCAATGTAAAAGTGTTTAAAAAATATTATTTTAACTAGATTTTCCTTATTTAGTAATTCCATATAACGAAGGAAGGAAAATCATTGTAAATAAAGATGAATTGGAAGGTGAGTACAGCATGCTAGATAACATGTTTTATGTGTGTATGTGTGTGTGTCTGTGTGTGTGTGTATGAACACTGGGTGCTAGACAGGTCAAGAACAAGAGATAGCTGGGATATTGATAACCGTTTGTGTCCTTGGTAAGTACCAGATTTATCCACAGTCTTCACCTACTTTTGTTCAGCCGCTTCAGTGCTGTTCTAATTATATCTGTGTCAAGTAATGTATCAATATGTCCTTGTTTTATTAGATGTACTGTGTTCTCACTCAATGAAAGCTCTTATCACCTTCTCATTTAGAAGATGTCAAAGTGCCATCACCTCCAAGAAATGTTCATGCTTCTGAGGTCACAGAGGACTATGTTGTACTTTGCTGGGATGAACCAGATCCTCGTGGCAAGGAGCCTCCAAAATACTACGTAGAAAAGGTATCAATCCATTATTTTTTAATCAGCTATAATGCAAAATTGCTAAACACAATAGATGATAATAATGTAAAAAAATTAACCATTGTAAAAAATAATATCCTCCATTAAGCCTGTATTTTTATCTATTCACAGCACCACATGATGTAGTAATGGAAATATCAGTACATAATATGTACAACTGGACTACATTATGTTCTTAAATAGTATTTTAATGCCTAAAGGAATGATGGAAATGTTCTGACTGTCCTTGGGGGATCAGGAAGGAATGTGTCAAAATTGGCAACAGTTGCCCAGGATGTTTTGTTTGGTTTCCCTGGACCAAGGGTTGTTAAAGGGTGAACTTGAAGGACAGCATTTTTTTTCATCTTCTTCATTTATTTATCTATCTATCTATCTATCTATCTATCTATCTATCTATCTATCTATCTATCTATCTATCTATCTATCTATCTATCTCTCCCATGAAACCTCAATAGGGCTGATTTATTAAAGCAGTAGAGAATGTTAACTTTGCAAACAGTAAAGTGAATCTGTGTTCACTTGAATAAACCAGTTGTGCCACTACGAATCAATTTTTTTTGTTTCACTTACACATAATTGAGTATTCACATTGAGCATAGTTTCACTTTATTCCATGAGATAAGTGATGTTTACTTTGCTAAGTGAACATTCTCTACTCCAGCTTTTCTCAATCACTGGGACATGGCACCCAGGGGTGCTCTCTGGCTTTCTCAGGGGTGCCTTGACATTTTTTCAGATCGCCATGCCTTTCCATGGTGCACACAGGCTGCCTGATCCATTCAAAAACGGACGGACATTTGCCTCGGTCCGGGCCTGCTCTGCCTCCTGCCCTCTGCCATGTTGCCACAGTTGTGGCTCCTAAAGTGATGGTAGGAATCTAATATGATGGTAGCACTCTGATCTGAAGGGGGGGCTCAGGATTCTAATGTGAAGAGGGCTTCTGATATGAAGGGGGACTCCTGATTTGAAAGAGAGAATTTGATGTTACATGGGGAAACCCACATGTGTTTTTGTGTGGGGTTCCTACTTAAAATCCATTACATTTTAGACTGTGGTGCTTCAAGATTGTGCATACATATAAAGGATTTTGTGACTGAAAAAAGTTTGAGAAACACTGCTCTACTCAATAAATGACCCCATCTGAAAATAGATATGTTTGCTAACTATGTCACTATTTATTAGTCTGTTGAAGGAACCAACAAATGGGAGAGGATAAACCTGGAAGGACCAGTGTCTTCTCCGAGGCTTTCTGTGATGGATCTTCATAAAAACAAATCATACAGTTTCCGGGTACAAGCTGTCAACAAATATGGAGTCAGTGATCAATCCGAGGCTAGTGCACCCATCATTCTTAAAACATCATTAGGTAATTTCTGTTACTTTTTCTGAAAATCATTTATACCAATGCTGACATCTAGACCTGTGATATTGGGAGGGGGATGTCACATGTAGACAGAAGTAAATAAAGTCTTCAAAGTGTACTGTGCTTCACCAAAAGCCGATCTGTGTATTCTTTCAAGTTCTGTATGAATCCAAAGATCTCATATACTCTACATGTAATACTGATAAACAGAGCACACTGGATAGTGCAAGTTAAACTACTTTAATAAGTACAAAAGATAAAATTGCACTTACAATTGAGTGAATAGATCTGGGCCTGCCCCCTTCTTCAGAGTGTACATACCTGCTATGTTTTACCCGCACTATCCAGTGCGCTATGCACATATCAGTTTTGCCTGCACTATCCAGTGCCTTATGTAAATGTCCTTTTCAGTGCATGCTGTTTTTTGCTTTTTAGAAGTAAATAATATCCAAAACATATAGAGCTATTTATAAAAATACAACATAAAGACTAATAATGTGCCACCAATTATATTTCATCTTTAAATCTGAACTCCAGGCTGTATTGTCTGGCAGAGCTGTGTAAATCTCAGGACTGAATGGGAAAAATCCTTTAGCAGCTAATACTGATCTCTTACATGTATTTCAACTGTGTAGTTGGCTATTCAGCTGTAGTTCGGTTTTAAGAACATTAGTGCTAAAGAACTTAGTGAAAGATATAATTTGACTGATTGACTATGGAACAGGGACATTAAAATATTATTGATCACCAGGCCTACTCAGCTTAGTCACAGCAGAAAGGTACTTGTTAGCATCCATGCATGCCAAATTCAGAATATCTAGCATTTGTGAAAATTGGCTATAATAGCTTAGCTTGTGCATTTTTATGAAAATACAATCATAGGTCTTTCAAGTACAGCAAATAGTAATTTTGCATACAATTAAAATAGCCCAATAAAATAATAATCAAATGGCATTTCTATTTTCTGTAACAGTTCTTAGAGATGATCTGTCTATTAAATTAAAAATATGTAACGCAAGCCAAAACAGTTTTCTTGCTTAAGATAGAATGGAGAAGAGTTAGATGTTCTGTTCTATCAGGGTGCTATTTGTGTGCTCCTTGGGGAGACTTCCTCTCATGTTCTGTCCTCCTTCACTACCTGTTCCAGTGAGTTACTTTTTGTCTTGGTGACAAGTGTAATAGGGACAGGAAGTGAGGGGAAATCTCTCCAAAACGATAAAGTAATCAAAACCTAAGGAAGATGACGATCCTTCCCATTCTGTCCAAAATTGAAAAAAAATGTGGTTGCATTAGTTTAGTTTGCTAAATAGGTCAATTGAAATATTTCCCATTGCAGCTCTTCCTCCACCACCTGAGCACATTTTAGCACTCAGAGATACAAAGACATCTGCCCTAGTGCAGTGGGGTAAGGTTGAAGCTATTCCAGAGATTATTGGCTATTACCTTTACAGCCGAATGTTGGGTGAAGAGGACTGGCAACCAGTAAACAACAAGCCCCTACAGTCTACTCGGTAAGAGATTTTAATGGAGATATATATTTTAAAAAATGTGCTTGTATTATTGTAACTGTAGAGAACTAAACAAATCAGAGCTGGTATCTAACTGACTGCTGTTTATTACACAACAAATTTTCTTTCCACCACTTTTAAGATAACTATTAATGGGCACAGATTGATATATTATCTAGTTCTATGTCAGTTTGACCATGTACATATACTGAATGATCACAACAAATTGGCACAAACTACTGGAATGTTGATCTGTTGAGTTCCAAACCCCGAAGATTTTTCTTAAACAAAAACATGCTGGTAAAAGTTTTACTCCATGGACACATTGACTGGTAGATATGCATGTCAGATTAAAAAAAAAAATGATTGAGAGTATAAAAATTTAAAAACTTCATATAAGGATCCTTTAGGGCCAAAAGAGGAAGTTGCCTATAGCTCACCACTTTAAAGATGCCCACCAGTGCTACCATGGTTGGTTACTTCATCCTTGACAGTTATAATGCACTAAAAAAGATATATAGATCTTAGTTCTTTGAAAGGTGCCATATGTGTAATGCAAATCTTGTGAATTAAACTTAAAGGCATGCTGAACTGAGAGAAATACAGAAGCTATCATTGCCAACAAACTTCCTATAACTCTAGCTGACCCTGTGGCTCCAAAACCTTTTGTTGTTTACCCAGAACTAGTATACGGTTAAGTAATTCTGACTTTTTATGACGTTTGGGGGTTTTTTAGTCACATGTCGAAATTGATAAGATTTCTGTAATATTAGATGAAAAAAAGGACTGAATGTAGTAGAAGCCATTGAATAAACTGTTTTGTGGGGAGGGGACACCCTGGGCCAACCAATTGATAGCTGTGGTTGCGTTAATATTAACTCCATGCTAAAACAGTTAGTTCAACAGATATGCAGCTGTCACCTAGCAGCCTTAGACTTAAACAAGTATTGATCAGCACCTAAAATCCATCATTAATAGAAAATCTTCATAAGAACATTTCATTGCAGTACAAATACACTTGCATAATGAGATCAAAGTAAACACAATGACTTGTCATACAATTTCACATAAGGCTCAGCAATCAATTCCCATATGTTTACAATTCAGCCAGTATGATGAATGTAACTGTTCCCAAAACAGGCATTTAGATACTGTATTTAACTGAATAAAGCACTATACGTATCCGGGAATCAAAGTCACTGCTATGACTGCTGACAGAAAATGATCAGTCATGCATAAATTGTGCACAAAGCACAGTAAATTAGTTCCATATATGCAGGCCTCAGATGCACAATGATGGCAATCACAATGTGCAAAGGTAAGACTGCTGCTGCTAGGGGAAACAGCAGGTATCTACCCCTTCAGTTTGCTCATCAGAATAAATGAACCATAGAGGTAAACAGATTCCAAGAGTGCAATGAAGGAAATGAGGGTTGATTCAAAAAGACACATACAATGATGAGAATGCCTCTGAGTAAACATTTCAAGGCATTCCCATCGTTGTATGTGTCGAATAAGCAAAAAGGAAACATGATACACTCCAAGTGGCTTTCAAGTGTATTTCGACTTTTGTAGTCAAATTTGAGAAAGCCTCTCTATATGTCTGCTATGTGTATCTATTCACACAGCATACTGAAAAACAATTGATGTTTTGTTGCAGCAGGTAACATGGCTTGGTTCCAGGTTTTTTTCAGCATCTTCACAATCATCTGTTCTTATAGAAAGAATTCCTAACATTACAAAAGGAAGAGAAGCAAGTAGAAATGTTAACCCTTCAGAAGCCAAGAAACCCTAACCCAAGTAGAAGCAATTTAAACTGCAAGCATAATTTTTTTTAATTTTTTTAATCTTATGAAATTTGAATGGGAACATGTAACAAATATAAAATTAGGTGTTATCTCAATTTGGCTGCAAAAGAGGAAAAACACTTTCAGCCTGGTAGAGATGAGTGTGGAAGGGCTTTCTAAGTGCATGGTGCCGCTTCCTAAAAATCTTCAGAGAGTATCACATGGCATGATTAATCACAGCTTTTAATTTGTCGCAAACAAGCAAGGTTTCAGAGCCGATGTACTAGCTCCTTCATCAGGCAAGAGTGACAATGTTAAACTAAAGTAGTATTAAACTGTCAAACTGTTTTTGAATAATGAATCCAGATCAAACAAATAAACATTGCTCAGCAAAGTATTTGCTTTGGAGATGGAGGTATCAAAGCTAGAGCCCTGTAATCATTTTGCTATGGGTCTCTTTCACATACAGCCGTTAAGCCCCTACGAGTATGGATTGTGTCCATCAAACATTAGACATTACTAGATTGCTGGAAAGGTGAAATGTCGGCATGACCTTTTATTAAGTAAAGAAGGTAATCGACTCTTATCTATACAGATTTCAACAAAAAAGCTACTATTGCATAATACATAATTGCAAAATAAGTTATATTCAACTAGTGTATTGCTATATACTAAACCACATGGAGAAGCTTTAGCAAACATGAACACATTTGTGGAGTCTCTGGGGTCTATTCACTAAGCTGCCGTAGGCAGCCGAGTGAATGACCGACCTGAAGTGAAGTGAGCCAAACACTATTCGGCTATTCACTTCAGGCTGGTACGGCTGATTTCAGCCGTACATCGGCTGAAATCAGCCGTACATCGGCTTGCTTCACATGGCTTCGGGTCGGCCGAACATGCTCAGCAGAAGGAGTCCGACTCAGCCTATCCAACATCTGGAAAAAGAGTGAAAAAATTTTTAAAAAATTAAATAGAAAACGATTGTGCGGAGCTAGCAGTGACAGCAAGCTCCGACTTTTATCTCCATGGCGGCCGGGAGCAGGAGACTCCCGGGGGCATCAGGGAGAGTTAGCTGTTTGGAGATCAGTGTCCCTGGTTAGCAGGTAACCAGGGATGTTGATCTCTCTGCAAGTGGCCGGAGCCAGCCGTGAGATCATGGCTGGCTCCGCCCAGCTGTCAGAAGCAGGCTGTCGGCCTGCTTCGGCTTTCAGCGCGGCTCAGCTGAGCCGATGCATATGCGTTCGGCTCGACTGAGCCGCTCGGCCGGGTTCGGGAGCTGTATGGACTATAGTGAATAGCCCGTACAGCACCCCTTCGGTTCTACTGAACCGAAAGGGGTCCTGGGGCCGAAGCTAGCCGAATGATCGGCCGAAGCTACGGCTAGATCCTTCGGCAGCTTCGTGAATAGACCCCTCTGTGTTATTTCCATCAAACTATATCTATGTCCTATTCATACATCATGAGTCATTGAACTCTCTGAGGAAATGTAGTATCAATACAATTTACCATAGAAGGTTCATTAGTCCATATAACCCACACAATTTTGTGAGAATGCTAAATGCAATATTTTACTATGGTCACATCATACCTAGCAAAAGCTGTGGAATAGTTGATATTTATTCCCCATTTAATGACACAAGAGTGTCATTAAATGGGGAAATCAAACAGCAAGTCAGTGGCTTGTAGGAATGGTGTAAGCTTGAAGGATATCTAAAGGTAAAACATTTTATTTTTATTGTGGATAGAGTAGCGAAAGCTTAAATCCCGTCAGGTTTTTTCTTTTTGCCATAAATTCAGAAGTTTCATTTACATCCTGTCCTGGTGACAACTCATGCTTTTAGATTATCTCTCCCTTTCAGTCCCAGTAACAGTGATCACCAAGACAAACAGGGAGAGGGAATCAGGTTCCATGTGGTTTGCTGTGATTCTTCATCATACACAGGCAAAGCCTGTACTGTAAGGTATTCGCACATGTAAAGGAACACTTTACAAAATATTGTATTTTCAGAACTGTATTATGTCAATACATGTAACAATAGTTCATTCCAGGGTTCCATTTTTATTTCACTTGCCTTTATTTATGTCAGTCTCCACATTTACGTGCAGATCATTTTGTCCTGCAAAATTGACAGTGAAAGTGGTTGGGACAGACTATAATACTGGCAGGTATTCTTACAGCAGTCCGATTTTATTTCTGAGTATCCATATCTGATCTCTGAAGACTGCTATGGATGCTAATAATCACTTTATTGGTTTTACAGTTTTACATACAGACAGTGCTGGTCTCTTCTTCCCATTGCTTACTGAAAACAAGGAGTTTTCCTCTGAGCACTGTCATTATTCAGAGAAGGTCTTGTATTTTTTTTCAATGAATATTATGCATTCTCTGAGGTGGAGATTGTGATGTTATCTATCTTCTCCTCGCCATCTCCTCCAATCAGAGAACACTGTGGGGTCTATTCACTAAGCTGCCTTAGGCAGCCGAGTGCCTAACCGACCCCAGACGAAGTGAGCCGAACGCTGTTCGGCTATTCACTTCAGGCTGGTATGGCTGAAATCAGCCGTATATCGGGTGGCTTCAGGTCGGCCGAACATGCCCAGCATGTTCGGTCGACCCGAAGTGCAGAAGGAGTTCGACTCAGCCGATCCAACGTCTGGATCAGCTAAGCCGAACCTCCGTCAGTCTACTCGCTGCTGTTCGGTCTATTCTCATAGATGCCGAACAGCAGTGAGTACCGTATTTGCCGGCATATAAGACGGGTTTTTAGACCCAAAAACATCGCCCGAAAATCGGGGGTCGTCTTATACGCCGGGTATACTCAATGTAGCTTCGGCTACATAGAGTATACCGCGCTGAGCCAATCACGGCAGGCTTTGTATTAATGAATACAAAGCCTGTATTAATGAATACAAAGCCTGCCGTAATTGGCTCAGTGCTGAGCCAATCACGGCAGGCTTTGTATTAATGAATACAAAGCCTGCCGTGATAGGCTCAGCGTGGTATACAGTATGTAGCTGAAGGACGAAACCCGGAAGATGGAGGACACTGCGTGGATCGTGGACAAGGTAAGAGACTGTAATCCCGAGTGTGGCTCGGGGGTTACCGCTTATGGTACTGAAAATTAACCCCGAGCCACACTCGGGAATACCGCCATGGAGGTTAGTGGGTGCATTTAAACATTATTTTGGGCTATACTCATCTTATACGATGAGTATAGCCCAAAACCTATATTTTAACACAAAAAGTGGGGGGTCGTCTTATACGCCGAGTCGTCTTATACGCCGGCAAATACTAGAAATAGCCGAATGCCGCTCAGCATTCCCTCTCCCTCTGTGGAACCGAGCAGAATAGAAAAATAGTTTAAAAAGTCTAAAAAAAATTAGAAAATGATTGTGCGGAGCTAGCAGTGACAGCTAGCTCCACCCAATTGTTTTCTATTGGCCGGGCGGTTCTGCTGCCGAATTAATTTTTTTCTTCTGACAGCAGCCAACGGCTCCGATGTCAGAAGAAAAAAAAAACGAGCAGGGAAAGGTTAACTCTGCTCGACCGAGCAGAGTGAACCTTTCTGGGAGAAAGTCTTTCTCTCCCGGGAGCCTATTAGACTCCCAGAGCTTCCAGGGGAGGAATGACAGATGGCGTTCCTGGTTACCAGGGTCCTGGGGCCGAAGCTAGCCGAAGGATCAGCCGAAGCTACGGCTAGATCCTTCGGCAGCTTAGTGAATAGACCCCTGTGTATTTATTGAAAAAAATACAAGGCATTATCTGAATGGCGGCTGTGCTGAGTGAGACTCCCTGTGTTCAGTGTACAGAGGGGAAGCCGCAGGAGCGGCAGCCAGAAAAGACTAGTGCTGACTGTATGTAGCGCTAACAAATTAAGTTTTTTTGGCATCCCCAGAAGCCCTCCGGAGATCAGATATGGTTACTTACATTGAGCTAAGCTGGACCAATGTAAATATCAATACAAGATCATCACTGGAGGAGTCCTGCTTTAAGCAACCTGACAGCATAAACCAACCCAGTCAATACAAATGGCTGGGGGCATCTGATGAAGTCCAAACATGTCTGTATACACAAAAATACTTATCTGATTTTGCTAAAATTGCTATAACCCTGTTGGGATCATCTTGCGGCCATTTGTAGCCATCAATAATTTTACTGTAGGCTTACAATATTTATCAATAAGTGATCTTATTCTATTTAGGTTTACTGTTCCTGAGTTGCAAACTGGGAAAGACTATGAGTTCTGCGTGAGGGCAGTAAATGAAGCTGGACTGAGTGAACGGTCACCCGTATCAAACCCCCTGAATATAAATGAGGCTATTTGTGAGTATTCAATATTAAGCAGAAGCCTTCTGTTGACTCAGGTTATAAATAAGTCTAGGTGTAGATAAACTTCAGGAAAAGTAATGTAGTTCCATATATTATTGAAAGACTCTTATTCAGCATTTCTGTGAGCTTTTCCATACTAACCATGGAGCTATAGCTTGCAGCTATAGTCAGTATATGATTTAATTGCATTGGATGGGAGACTTTGGAGGAAGGTAGATTTTGGCAAGGAGGTAGAAAAATGGATATCCATACCTACTTATTGTCTACTTTTGAATGATTTTTTTTGAATTACCAGATTGGGATTAGATAGATTCATGTGTGGATAATAAAGTCAGTAAAACAATACATATAAAGCATTTTTTTAAATCTGTTTTAATGATCAAACCACATTAATGGCAGAAATATTAGATTCTTTACTTGCATAGAACTTTTAAACATGTCATGAGAAAAATATGGTGGCTGCCATTGATGCCTGCCTGCCATACTAACTCACTTGCTTCAGTGACCCGGACAAGTATATTGATAAGGACTTCTAAATTATCCTGATCTGCATACTTGTTCGGTGTCAGAGACTAAAAAATTATTGAAGCCAGAGTGTCAGCGTAAGAGTCGGGCAAATTGCATTTTCGAAAGGAGGTTTGCATTGGGAGCCTATTTCTCTCTTGACAGATATACTTTAACAAATTATTGCATGTTTAAATATAACAGCAGAATTTATTGGCCTTTTTCGCATATAGTATATTAAAGTAGAACTATGGCCTCCCATTAAAATATATGTGGTGCAGCACTTAATTATAAGGCAGCCGAGTGACTAACCGACCCCAAGCGAAGTGAGCCGAACGCTGTTTTTTCTTTGTTCACCTGCAAAGCCTCACAAGAATCTGTTGATCTTGTCAGTGAAGTCAAATGCAGCTCCCTGTGATGGTGTGGCAACAATGCTGCACTGCTCCTGAATTTATAGCAGAGTTGCCACTCTCATGTAGGCTGTGCCTGCTTGCACTGCAGTAGGATGAAAATTTTGCAGGGGATGTGACTATCAACATTGTCGCTACTTAATTCACAAGACTGCAGCTTGTCAATCATCAGCTGACCACACCTAGTCCTGCCCATTGCTTTCTGGATTGACAGCACTGCCTATGTTGCTGAAATCCTCCCACTGTGAGCTGCAGTGTCTGAGAAGAGGAGCAAGTGAGACACAAATTAAAGTGGGTTTGGCTCGGTCAGGGAAGATAACATATATTTTTTAGTATAGTAAGTGGATTTGGGACTTGTTTAGGCTGTCGTACATGAGCCTTTAGTTGTACTTAAACATCTTAAAAGTAATCTAGTTTTGTAATGTTTGCCCTGAATGCTTCTATAAGAAATTCATCTTACTATTATTTTTCTATTATTTTAGACTGTCCTTCTGCTCCTTATGATTTTGCTCTCCTGAGCTGTGGTAAAGATGAAATGACCATATGTTGGAAGGCTCCTAAATTTACAGCAGGGAGGGAAATTCTAGGATACTTTCTGGATCAGCATGATTCTATAGAGTTGTCATGGCGAGATGTCGGTAATGAACAGATTCCTTCCAGGGTTTATAAGGTATCATAGCATAAGCAATATTAGTACTTTTCCTTTACTATTTCGATCCTTAATGGAAATTTCTACTCAGTTTTTTTAAAGCAGCAGATGAAATGAAGAATGTGAATATAATTTATCTGTATATTTCTGTTTTTCAGATCTGCCATTCAAAAGTCCTACTCTGTACAATTCTTGGTCTCAAGGTAGTCCAGCTTTTGGGCCTAGCGGCTTGAGATTTCATATAGACATCTATTGGTCTGATACAAAGAGAAAGCTAGCAGATAATGTGAGCTGGAAAGCCAAGGAATAGGCTTTATGAATGGCAGATCAGAGGCTATAGATGTCAGCATTATTTGTTCATCCCCTTTAAACAAACCCACCGGGTTATCACCTTTAACTACAGGCACATATAGACAAAGATAAAGACATAAATACATTCAGGTTTGTTTTAAATATTACATCCCAGAATGTATTTTTAAATGCAAGCAATGTAGATATCTGAATTTGACTTGGTATCTGATTCATGCAGTCCCTATGCAGCAGAGCTCATGCAGGGGAGAGAGAAGCAGCACAAAGATCCAATCAGTTGTGCTGCAGTGCAAGGCGCATGCTGATAGAAGGAGAGCAGAGTGACAAAGAAAGAGCTCATATATATGTCTGCTGCCTAGCTACAGGGTGGGGTTGGTAGGAGACCTCTAAATGATGCTGCAGCAGAGAAAAATAAGGTCTTCTTCCCTGCCATATATGGATCTGCTCTGTGGCAGAGCTGTGTAAATTTAAAAACTTCAGAGACAGAAATAAAAATCCTTTGGCAGGCAAGCAGCTTCCCTACATATATGGTACCTGTTTATTTAGCTGTTTGCTTGGAATTCAGCTTTACATTTAAACAGTTGCGGAGCTAAGGAACAAAGGGCCCTGGTGCAAGATTTTTTTTTTTGGGGCCCCCCCTCCCCCCCAAAAAAACCCACAAACACAGCGCTCTCCTTCCGCAGCGCTTGGCCGGCTGTCACTTTCTCTCCTCCCCGCTGGGAGACGGAGACCTTGAAGAGAAATAAACATCTGAATTCCTTCCCATACTTACTTTAGTGATACATGTTGCTTCTTTATTTAAAAAGTACAAACCCTAGTTTAAAAAAATCAATGGAATAATTAGGAGACCTTTATTTCCAACAGGTGACAGGCCTAACTGAGGGGCATTTTTATGAGTTTCGTGCTCGAGCAATAAATATGGCTGGTGTTGGAAAGATGTCGGAGCCAAGTGATCTTTTTAAATGTGAGGAGTGGACAATGGCTGAACCAGGTAATACATACAATATTTATTGTGACAGATTGTAGTGGGGTGTTAGTCCTTTCTAGGGTTTCTCCCACACCTTTTCCTGCATGTCTGGTTTGGCTGCCCCTGCTTACTAGTGGATTTGAAATGTTAGGAGGGGTGGGGCAGTTGCAGTAGGTAAATCCAAGTGGTCAGTTAAAGTGGGTGACAATAGAATGGGAAAAGCGGCCACTGAAAAAGATAGCTACAAACACCTGACTGACTGAAACCTCAAGTATACTTCATGAAGCAATTACACTTCCTGTCAATTCTATGGATTCTGTGTATAATTCTTCATGCAAGACAATTTTATTGAAAAGATATATGTGACTGGATGTTTCTTAATTGATTGTGAGCTGTGATTGCAAGTGAAGATTCTGTAAAGTGTGTGTGCATCCTTGGAGAGTCTGCTGATAGTAAGGCCTGGAGTAGCCGTTACCCGACCAGTGACCCTCTGTGGGAAAGTTAGAGTGGTCTGCTCCTGGCCTGGTTTACAGGAAGACTATGAGGCTGTACTATGTCTAGGTCTTTGTAAATGTATGTTTGAACCGAGTTAAACATCCCATGGACCATGCAGATTGTTCAGAGGAAAGGTGGGGCTATCCCCCTAGTACCGCTACTTAGGTGTATGAGCATTGCACATGTACATATACTACAAGTAGTGAGTGAAGTTAGAGAAGTGGTCCTGCTACTAGGCCTTGGGTCAGCCACAACCAGACCGACCCTGAAGGCCACAAGCATAGTGCTACAAGTTTGTTATGAAATGCATGCCTAATATCTTTGTTTGTGAGCAAACAGAAATATATGAATGTTAGCCACATTGCCAACTGATATAGTATATGACAACCAAAATGTATGAGGTATTTTTTTTTTTTGATAGAGTATCATAGGGCTAGACACTATGTCAAATTGTTATTGCTATCTGTGTCCCTGCTGGAAAGATTAAACTCTCTATTTGTTCTGCTGGCAAATGTAGCAAAGACAGAAAATAAGGGAAAATCCTCCAATGAGGACACCTGTTCCTATGACCAATCTCCAAGCTTCAAATCCTGTTCACTTTGGAGAAACAGCAAAAAGGGCAGCTTTACATACACTTTTGCAAGGAAAATATATAACTATGTGTTGAAAACTGCAACATTTTCCCAATAAGCACAGGTTTACAGGATGTACATAGTTTAATGGAAAATGCATTTTTTGAATTTGAAGAGTTCCAAAAGTTCACATCCAGGACATGTGAGGATTGCGTCTAATAAGACATTTATTTTACATTTACAGGTCCCCCTTATGATGTCCGATCTAGAGAAGTACGTGATAGCACACTGATGCTCCACTGGGAGCCCCCTGTGTATACTGGGGACAGCCCAGTCAATGGCTACATAGTAGAAGTATGTGAGGAGGGCACTAAAGCTTGGAGGAAGATTAATGAGGAGCCCATTTTGGAATCCCATATGAGGGTATTGTATGTTAAAGCTGAAGTTTAATCTGCTTATACTTTGCTTTCCCTGTCCCCTCCCCAATCAAAATCTGTATTAAATAAAGCCTTTCTTTTTTCAAGTATGTATGTCACTGTGAAGGAAGTGCTGAGTGACTATGTAATTATTTTCCTGGTAGAATGTATACATATTTATTATAATAGCTACTCGAAATGGAGAAAGTCATATTTGACATGTGTATGTTTGTTTTAGCTCTCTGAATTGAATACAGATAAAAGTTATCAGTTCCGTGTCCTTGCTGTTAACACATCTGGGCCTGGGATTCCATCTCTCCCATCTGATCCTGTTGTGCCTGCAACTAAAGAAGGTTTGAACTTTTACAAAGGAGTATAGTAAAAAAAAAAAAAAACTTTTGGTTTTTGCACAGGGACCTTACCGTCTTCTCTTGTTTTATTTTCGAATGTACATTCTTTCATGTCTCATTATTATTAGTGTCATGCTTTTTTTCGGACCATGCTTGATATGGTTTAGTATTGGCTCTATTCAATAAAACCAATGGTAGCATTCCTGTTAAGACAATAGTTTCATGTTCAAATACCAATAAAGTTATTTTATCCACAGGCACAAATGAAATTGAGGTTGGAGTAGACGAGGACGGATTTATTTACCTTTCATTTGAAAACCCAGAGCCAGTTGACAATCCACAGTTCCTCTGGTCCAAGGACTACAAGGGCGCCCCAGACTCAGAGAGAACAGAAGTTTCTACAGATGGAAATAAGTAATTACTGGAATAAATATATTACTTTGTGTGTCCATGGACTTGGCTGTGCAATTTCTAAACATTTTACATTGTAATGTATATTTCCCATAAAGAGGGATGTTTTAATTATACTATCATTTCAAAAATATTTAAAGAACTTCTGCTCAAAGCTATTTCTATATCCATATTTATTAATAAATGTTCCACCTCTAAGTCCATGTTATGTTATCCACCTCTGTAAAGATGCACATAGTCAATAGTAGTTGCTTGGTGGACATACACATTTCAGTGATGAAAGTTCTACCCCATACAACAAGAACATAGACATTGGGGTCTATTCACGAAGCAGCCGAAGGATCTAGCCGTAGCTTCGGCCGATCCTTCGGCAAGCTTCAGCCACAGGACCCCTTTGGTTCAGTAGAACCGAAGGGCTGCTGTACGGGCTATTCACTATAGCCCGTACAGCACCCGAACTTGGCTGAGCGGCTCAGTCGAGCCGAACGCATATGCCTCGGCTCGGCTGATCCCCGCTGCAAGCCGAAGCTGGCCCCCAGCCTGCTTCTGTCAGCTGGGCGGAGCCAGCCGTGATCATACGGTTGGCTCCGGCCACTTGCAGAGAGATCAGCATCCCTGGTTACCAGCTAACCAGGAACACTGATCTCCAGACATGCTGAGCATGTTCGGCCGACCCAAAGCCAGGCGAAGCCACCCGATGTACGGCTAATTTCAGCCGAAATACGGCTGAAATCAGCCATACCAGTCTGAAGTGAATAGCCGAACAGCGTTCGGATCACTTCACTTCAGGTCGGTCTTTCACTCGGCTGCCTACAGCAGCTTAGTGAATAGACCCCATTGTATCTGTATGTACATTTATATGCATTTAAGAAACTCCTACTAATGCCTTAATTGTCCAACCAACATGCATTGCAACATAACACAATAAGCAAGTGTAGGTTTTAGTGTGTTGTTTTTTTAGTGTGTTAAGCAGCCTTCTCAAATGAATGGGTTATCTTAATATAATGCGAGTTTAATGCACCGCTGATGTATAATTATAGCGTAAAAGGAAGCAATACATAACTGTTCATATGCCATATTTCATATTTACCTGACAAAAAAACATATTTTTCACAATGTTGTTTTAGTGCTGACCATAACATTTTTATAAATAAATATGTACAAATACCACTACACATTCCCTTTAAAACATCATCTTCTGACCATGTTTCATCCATATTTAGGGTGTAACATGAAACGTGGTCATATTCCCTAACTCCCCTCCCCATTAAACTGCACCCCCCACACTTACCTGAATTGTGGGGTTATTCTTCCTGCAGTGACCTGCTTTTTTAAATTGCTCACTCTTGTGCCGGGCTCAACCGCATGGTTGCATCATCTATTCACAGATACCTGTAAATAGGATGAGTACAAGACCCATCTGCCCCAGCGGTAGAGTCACTGCACTTGTAGACCACTGCTTACTTGCTCCAGCCCCATAATTAAAGATCCATACTGAGGTATTGACCTGGGGCTGGTGGAGAAGGCTGTGGAAGCCTGTCCATTGCACCCGTGAACCACTGATTGGTTGCAATGCTTTGCAAGCTCCAGTGCTAACATGTAATAAATGCACTTTTTTATTATTATTAATATGGGTGCATTTTATTGCAAAAGGTGTGATATGCTTTTAAGTTTTCTCTCTTTTGTAAGTGGAATAGATTCACAAAGAAACCAAACAAAGAAAAACATACATACTTACAGCAAAATTTTAAGTCAAAAGGATTTTAAGCGATTTACAATGCTGATAAAATCACTTACAATGGATGCTGCTTCTTTATGCTTAAAAGTTTTAGTTTCCTACAGAATCAGCTGGTCCCCCGACTTCCTGTTTTAGGGTGGCTCCTTTCTCAAGCAGACCCTCTTCTCCTTCCTCCCTTCTCCAAGCTAGTAGATGAACAGTTGCTGAAGTCTGCTCTGTCCTTTGTGATCGTGTACTGGACAGGAAGTTCAGGGAAACTGAGCTAAGAGACTTGGAAGCAGCTGTTCAGAAATATGATGTGTAAGGGGTCTATTCACCAAGCTGCCGAGGGCAGCCGAGTGAATGACCGATCTGAAGTGAAGTGAGCCGAACACTGTTCGGCTATTCACTTCAGGCTGGTACGGCTAATTTAAGCAAAGATGTGAAGCAATGTATATTTATTTGATCTGGATTCATTATTAAAAACATTTAAGAGTTTAATACTACTTTAAATGATTTAAGCAAATAATGCTTTTTTCATCAGATATAAAATAGAAAAACAACAGAAATAAGATATATATTTTAGTAAATGCTGTTTATTGCTATAGGTCCAAACTTATTCTAACAAACCCTTCTGAAGAAGATGAAGGCATCTATTCCGTTGAAGTTCCAAATACAGATGGTGTGTCTGCAAGTCACACACTAACAAAGGAAGGTATGGACATTTTTAATGAATTCTACAGAAAACAGCTATATCATAGGAGCACTTCAGCTGAGGCATAGCTCACTATTCCTCTGTTTGAGGGACAGTCCATCTTTTGCAACTAGATCTTTATGTTTTACTTTCCTCCTTAACTGTACCTTTTCTTGGTCTGAAGATAAATATATATATTAAAATATGTATTATGTGTATCTACAGTATGTCTATGTTTTGTAGTTTTGCATAGAGTAGAGAAGGGTTAAAACCCTTGTTAGTTTTTGTTTATTTTTTTTCCATCTGTGGCCATGTTTGGGGGGATTTCCCCATATTTCTTATCCTGCAGGATGGCAGAAAATGAGAGGAAAACTATCCAACATAACAGAAACCCCTGCTTAGACAGTTTTTCACTCTCTATTCCTGTTCAATATTTTGGATGTTTCTTCACTTCATGTACCAGTGATAATGGTCACCGAGACAAATATAGGTTAAGTCTCTTAAGAGTCTCTTAAGAAGACTCTAGCCCTACCCTACTATAACCAAACATAAAAAAGGATTTTGCCTTTAGCTACATTTTAGGTATTGTTATGTGTTATATTGTACAAAGCTTTGTATTTAATCTTGTAATGATTGCTTTTGTTACTATTATTATTTTGTTACTAGTATATAGGAGAAGTGGGTTTAACGAATCATTTTTTGCTCTCAAGTTGTATAACTAGAGTTGTCATAGTTATGTGTTCATGGCCAACGTATTTTGTGCTTAAAGGAGTCCCACTTTCTTATTTTATGGAGCTGAGAGGTATAATACTTCTGGAATATTTGTTTATCAAATTCTCTAAATACAATGATAATATTGTTTAGGTTATATATTATAAATGACAGACACAAATATATTGTTTTAATTAAAATAACCAACAGTGATTTGTAAATACATTGTTATTATAAGTACTACATATCTTTATAACAATATTATTTAATTTCCTGTTAGAATTAGAGGGACTGATGCGCAAAAGCCATGATGTGCGACATCCATGTAAGTGGATTTTGGTGTGTTGTATTCTGACTTTAAGCTTTGTCAACTATTAAAGATCATAAAACTCAACAAGAAGAAAAAAGAAGTGTTAAAAAGAAAGAAATCAAAAATAAATGTTAAAAAGAATATATGTATTTGTGTAAACCTGTAAACCAGTAGAAATACATGTGCTGCTAAAGCTGGGTATACACAGTTATATTTTCTTAGTTCAACCTGTGGGCTGAACAAGAAACTATAACAGATTCCTCCATCAAGGCTTATGATGAAGACTGTTCTCATTGTATTCTGACAGCGGGCGGTCTCAGAATACCCAAACAGAGCATGCAGCTGATTAAATGTTAAAAACAAAGCAGTCTGGGGAGAAGATAATATATTCTTATTCCTATTTATTTAGTGATACAGAAAATCTCAGGCTGGAATGTGGAAGTACTGGAGGATGGGAACGTGCGCCTATGGTTACAAGTAGAAAAACTGTCCCCTGCTGCGGATTTAGAGATGATTCTTAACGACAAAGTCATCCAAAACACACCGGTATTTCTGTCTCAAACATGTAGAATTATAATAGAGTATATTAGAGATCATGAGTGGCATGAGTGCAGCATGATTTTATTTGTCACTTTACTTTTATAAGAATATTGTTTTCTCATAACTGTAATATGTTATGAGTAATATTTAAAATGATTTCATTTAAGTCAAGTTTTCATGCTTTTATTGCATACAGCTTGGAGTTTACAGCAAGATCCCCCTTCTAAAAAGCTACATAAGCATTCAAACAAACACCTGTGAGGCAAAAAAAAAAGATATTACACTCACCTTTCCTTTGGCTTTTGTGGTGCAGGGGGTGTCAACTAGATCCCTGGGAATGGTGAGTATTCAAATAGATACTGCAGCACAGCAATGAGAGCATCTCGTCAGTGAGATTTGGAGCACTCTACATTCCCCAGATTTCCCCAGAAGGAGGGTGTTGTCACCTTCACCTGGGCACCATGGGTGAAAGCCAGTGGAAAGGTAAGTATATTATCTTTTTTTTCCTCCTACAGGTTTTTTTAGGACCTTTATGCTGCTTTTCAGGGGAAGGGGTCCACTTAAAAGTGGATCTTGCATTTTATATTTATATTATATAATTTTATATTTATGAAAATTTGCACAAAGGTATTGTGAAACTGCCATGTATGCCATGTAAATGGGACAGAAACTAATGTTATCACTATATATTGTTCTAGTAGGTTGAATGTAATATCAGGAAAGGCAGCCGAGTGAATAACCCAGCTGAAATTAAGTGAGACGAACAACGTTCGGCTATTCACTATGGCTCAGTACGGCTGAAATCAGCCGTACATCACCTACTTTCGGCTGCACTTTGGTCAGCCGAACATGCTCTGCATGTTCAGCTGAGCCGAAGTGCAGAAAGACTTCGACTCAGCCGATCCAACATCTGGAGTGGCTGAGCCGAAGCTCCGGCAGCTCACTCGCTGCCGTTCACCCCTATACACATAGGGGCCGAACGGCAGTGAGTGAATAGCTGAATGTCGCAGAGCGGCATTTGGCTCAGCTATTCTGCTCAGTACCTCCATGGTACCGAGCAGAATAGCAAATCAGGGAAAATTGTTTTTTTTTTAAAGGTTTAAAAAAAAAAATATGTAAATAAATAGTTAAATTTTAAAAAAAACAGATTTTTTAAAAAAGAAAAAAATTATTAAAAAATTGGGCGGAGCTAGCAGTGACAGCTAGCTCCACCCAACTGTTTCCTATTGGCCGACACCTGCTAGGGTCTTCTAGCAGGTGCCAGCCAATGCATAACAACTGAAAGGAGTTGTTATTGTTTAATGACAGTTCAGTCTTTGTCAGGCTGTTCGCCCCGCTTCGGCAGTCACTTCGGCTGAGCTATAGTGAATAGCCCGTATAGCAGCCCTTCGGTTCGGCTGAACCGAAGGGCTCCAGCGGCCAAAGAAAGCCGAAGGATCAGCTGAAACTAGTATTTTTATATGCTATGATCCTTGGTTCCATCTAGTGGTCATAATGTGGTATTTTCCTGATTCACTTTAATCTTATAAATACATTACATTTTCCTTGGAAAGAAAATATACTGATAACTTAAATTTTTTCCATTTGCATAGACAATTGGACAATTGCATTGGACAATCTACAATACTGCCAGGGTTGTTGAAGCAGTTGCAGCAACATGTTTTGTGACACATTTAAACTATGTGAATAAAAGGTGACCATTAAAAGTATCCCTGGCAGTGTAATAGTTTGTCTCAAATTATATTTCTGTTACTTTTGCTGGGTCTGCATGTAAATGGGGAAGAAAATATAAATAAAGGCACGTGAAACATAAAAAAGGAATTCAAGCGACTGTGAAAAATATAAATTTGATTCATTCATCTGTCAATGGAGGCTTAATTCTGTATGGCCAGTTCCATTGATTTACACACCTCTGTCACTGTATAGCCATTAATTTTTTGGGTAGGTTTTAAAATGTCTTCAGCTCTCTGACTTCAGCTTGCTCAGTAGACAATGAATCAGCATTCTGACAATGCAGATTCATTTTTCAGCTGCAAAGCTGAATGAAGAAACAGATATCCCCGACCTGGCAACAGTATGTAATGAGGCTACGTTTTGGAAATCAGATGACCATCTGAACACTGTTGAATAAGCCCCGTTTATCTTGCAGCACCATTATTATTATTATTTTATTTTTTCATACAGAAACGAAAAATAACATTTGACAAGGAAAATGGACTTATTGAAATAATTAAGGAAGACTTTGGTGAAGAGGATAAAGGAACATATACTGCAAAATTAGTAGATGGAAAAGCATCAAACCAGATCAGTGTTACCCTTACTGGGGAAGGTCAGAAACCACTGTATATGTAGTGTATGCTGCCAGTTGACTCATTTCATAGCAGTAAGGATAGTGTTGCGCACTGGCTTATAATCGTATGCTGGCCCTATGTGAAGATATGATTGTTCGATATATAGTTATCATTCGTATGAAAGGATTATATCTGCCAATAATCAGTTGCACTAAACGTTTTTCAAGATATGGGATGATCTATCTCGCAAGTAAATCCAATTAAAGTTGGCCAGATTGACCCTTCTTTGAAGTATTAAACAATAGTTAACAGAGAACTAAAGCCAATCCTTTGTACTGCTTTAGTTCCCCTTTTGTGTCACAGGAGTACATTTATAAATGCACTCAAACTCAGCATATAGCAGGCTACTAACCGATATATGCTGACAGCGCAGAGCTGTGCCACAGCTAAGAGGATCCCAACAATATTGTTGGGATCCACCCGATGCCTGATTGACAGCTGGCTCTTCCTCTCTAGATCCAGAGCCAGCTGTGCCCACCCCCTCCCCTGTCTGTCCCTCCAATGAGAGCTGCAGGAATAGAGAGGGGAGGGGGGATCCCTGCTGACACTACTGACAAGTCAATGTTATCTGCAGGGAGGATACTGTATCAGCAGTTACATGATCCTTCAGCTCTTGGTATATCGAGCCAGCATACGATAGTTGCAATGTCCCACACTGCCTGTAGATATTGGGGATAGTATATTTCCCCCTCCCAATACTTCTCCTTTAATGTCCATCTAAATTAAGTGTTACTGTAATTATATAGCTTACATTACCTGTAGGTGCCCTAGAAGGTTTTTCCATGTTCAAAAAGTTATGACCAGATATATACAGATGTCTCCCCGACTCCTTAGGAATGATAGCGAGGAGTCATCTACCTTTCCTTACTTGCATGGGGTCCTGTTGTAGTTTACCTTGCACTTTGTCCAAAAGACAGAAGTGCACATGCAGTCAGTCTGTTTCCTCAAGACAATTTTCTGAGGATGACAAAGGGAGGGGTGTGTCAAATAAATACCAACGCACTACTGCTTGTGTTTGATTTTTGTCCACCATAGTAAAAATGTGACACGCTAACCAGTTTTTCTTACACAATATATTTAAATATGTTTTTCATTTTCTAAGATTTTAATAAAGTTTTTGATGAGTCCCAAAAGAAGCAAAAGGCATGGAAGAGAAAGAACGGTAAATTATGCATACTTATACCCATAATCGTAATGCCGCTAATGTTGGGTAATGATTATATACTTGCATGATCTCACATCACGGTCAGATATATTTCAAAAGGAAACCCCAAACTGGATGACATTTAGCTTTCTACAGCACTGTGGATCATAAATAATAGCCATGTTAAAAAAAATACTGTTTTCCCTTTCTTTTATACTTTTAATGCTGCCAATGTCTTTTAGCCTCTTTGCAGCTGCTTCCTATCTGCGTGTATGTGCTCTAGAGATGGCTTTGTGTCATTGTTAGGGCTGGCTGATGGTTTCAATACAAAAACGTGGTTGCAGAATGAGCATCTTCGTTGTGGCCATTGGCATTCTCAACTGGAAGCAAATATGACAGGGAGACAATCCAGGACAGCAATTGAGGGACAGGGCATTGTCACCTCTTAACTGGGCGTGCCTGAACAAAGACATTCATGGCAGGATTACCAGTTATTATTTTTAGCTGAGGATTTTAAAAGATTCAGAATGGCTTTTAAAACTACATTGACACGTTAAAGTTAATACAAGTTAGTCAGTTGATTTCAGTAAGTTGAACTCTTATTTATACTGTTTGCACTGAGTGACTGTAGCTTGCACTCCAGCTTTGCCCTTTGAACTGCCTCTCTGAGTATATCCATAAACTCATCTATTAAATCCTTTTTTACTGAAATGTATGCAGTATGTTTAAATACAGTGAAAGCAATAAAATAAAATACTGTAAAAAAAAAAAAGCCTGCACACAGGGATGTCTTAGGTAGCCAATGCTCTAACACCCATGACCCCAAAGAGCCCCAGATGTTACATGCATATTTTCTTTCCCCCTTACCACACCAGTGGAGGAATCATTGTGTAACGTATAACATAAATATATAAATATTATGCTTGTTATACAGTATTGTGTGAGGTATTTGTGTATGGTAAATATCACAGGAACTGATATATATTTTGTAATAGGGTTTAAAGCAGTGGTGGGAAACTCAGGCCCTCCAGCTGTGCTTTAACTACAAATCCCAACTTGACTCTGCCTCTGGGAGTCATGCTTGTGCCTCATGGGACTTGCAGTTTCACAACAGCTGGAGGGCCGGAGTTGCCCACCATTGATATTACTGGTACCAAAAAGGTGCCAAGGTGTCCAGTAAAAAATTACAGTGATAGTGACTTCATAAGTTGCTGCAAAAGTTTTTTTTTTTTTTAATTGGATTTAAAGGGGGTCTAAACTCCCAACATATGCTATCCGGTTATAACATCAGCATTGTGATAGGAATACATACTAGAGTTGTTTTTGATAAGTTAATCAAAGCTTACTGGAAAAATCCCTTTTATGTAGTGAGTGCTGCCTTCTGTCTGCCCATTACTTTTATCAATGTCCTGGAATCCCAGTGTGATTTACATCTCTTTCCCGGTTTCTTGATGTGATGCAATCTCCATTTCTCAAGACTATATATCCCATCATGCATTGCTTCAAGCAAACAATGATAATGCTACATTGTTCAGACGCTAAGTTATAGTTCAGACTTTATAAGAGATGTGACATCAGGAAGTGCATATTCAAAGGGCTGAGTGTCATTTTGTTCATGCATTGAGGAAATACATCCTATGGGCATCTTTACTTTACAAACCTGCATATGGATATGGTTATTAAGAGTGGGATAGAACGTATTGAAATTCTATATGTATATTTATTTTAGGCTTTTGACTATAGATACCCTTTAAACAATAGGAATGACAGGCAGCTGTTGTAAATACCCCTGGCAATAGTATAGTTTGTCCTAACCCTTATGACTGTCACTTTAACTGGACAGCGTAATTTCTATGTTAATGTAAAAAAAATTTGTAAAATATTAATAAAGCCATGTGAAATAAAGAATTAATATACTGAATACTATCATTACATATATTATCCACATACAGTTGACAAAATACAATATTTTTTACACTAATAGGTCTTTAATTAAATGCAGACATAAATAATCTTACGATGAGCGTTGGAAATGTCACAGGAGCCACCATAAGTATAAATGCTCAGATCCATTTTAATAATGAAAAAAGTTCTATTGTGCCAAAACAGCCCACTAACTAGTTAATGATGTCTATGTCATGGTAGGACCACATTTTGAAGAGCAGCTGCAGTGGAAGGTGACAGAAGACTGCCATGTTATTATAACATGCAAGGTATTTATTTTTTTGTTACGCAACTATTTGTATTTTTTATTATGAAACTTTTTTAATTTGACAAGCATTCTACTCTGTAGGCCCATGTCACATTTCAGATCGCTAAAATATGGAGAAAGAACACTCACCTGTTTTTATGAATTGCTCCCTTGCTGGCAGGATCTGCAAGGTAGCTGCCTAAAAAGCTGCAGAATGTCAGCTGCTGAAAAAAGAGCAACATCTCACTCATCCATCTGGCAGGGGAGTGATACATGCAGCTAGGTGAGTGTTTCACCTCTCTGCTGTGTCCTCCATAGTGATCCTGCCACCGACAACTTCACATGAGTGGCAGGGTTGCAAGTGTGACATGGGCCTAAAATTAAATGGTGCTCAGATGGCCAACTCGGTTTGGAACTGATAATTCAGACTGGAGAGATTGCCATTGAGGTGAATTATGCTCTTTCTTTTCTTTCTGTGTTTTTAGCTTTTGGTTATCTTACATTATAAAGAATCCATCAGTGGAGTGCATTTGGTGAATTTGTGAGTTCTGATAGAAAAATCAGAGACACAAAATTCTGAGTTTTGATGGATAGATCCAGCTTTCTAGATGTTTCTAAACATTCATCATTTGAGTACCAGCCTGTAATACTCCTACTAGGCATTTTTCAGTTTTCAGTGCTGTAATAGTTTGACTGACAATTACTCGGTCATGCAACATTGTATCCACATTAATTTTCTATCATTTTTTGAGACAGACAGAGCTTTCTTATGGTTTTATTGATTTTTTTTTACTATAGAAAGATAAGCGTTTAAAAAAAAAAAAACCCTGTTCCCCTGTTACTCTCTGTTAAAATAGAAATCCCTGGACAGTAAAAAACAAAAAAAAACAAAATTACCACTTTTTAGAGAGTAGACCCCCCTCCATAGTGATCTATTTTTTTTTAAACATGAAGCTTGGTATGGGTGCACTAGATGCATTATTGTTGAAGCAGAACTTCAGGCACAAATTTAATTAATCCTTTTAGTGGGGCTACCCCCACACTGCAAAAGGTAAACTGCTTGTTTTTGTCTAGGTTCAAGAAAAAAAGTTTTACTCACACGATCCTTGGAGCTCTTAGACTGGTCCCTTCCGCCTCTCTTCCCCTCCAATGAAGCAGTCTAAGGTCCCTGAGTCATAATGTTCCATACACTGTGTATAGAACATGAGGACACTGTGGGACATACCAACGTTGCAGCGGTGGAAGTGGGAGGCAGAAGGGAGCGCTGTGACACCCGGCTGGCTACAGGGTTCGGGTGAATATATTTATAAAATAAATATAAAATTATTAACATTTGTTCATGGAATTCTGCTTTAATGTGCAGATGTGAAGGATAAGGGAGGTGAGGGTTAATATACAGAGCACAATTCAGGCTCGGAGATCAGATGTGTAAAGGTGGCCATACACCTTACATCTATCGCACGACTTTCGTTGTGCGATGGTTGTAAGGTGATTACAATTTTGTACAACCTGCCCATCTTGGACAGGCAGATCGTACTTGCGATCATCGCAAGTCCTCCCCGCTGAGCGGGCAATGTGCGCTTGTGCACCGCGGCCCGTGCGGCTTTCATCTTGTGATCGTGCTACCAATCATACGATTTTCGGTGGGTTTTCTAGCTTACTCGTAAGAAGAAAGTCATGCGACCGTACAGTAAATACGGTCGCACGCTGCCAATACACCTTACGATTATCGTACGATCGCGGGATCATCCACGATTATCGTACAATAATTGTCAGGTGTATGGGCAGCTTAAGAGAGGAGTGTAGTGAAAAGATAAAATATAAGTCTCACAGTCAGTGGGAATTAATGAATCAATCAGCAGCTCCTGATTACAGCGTCATCACAGCGATCACATGGTACTAAGTCACTCAGGTCGCCTCAGTACATTGTCTCTGTGTACAAAGCCATCTAATGAAGGCTCGATATACAGCGATTAGTTGGCAGAAGGGACACCCCCTGGTCTTTTCTCCAGTGGGATATTTCACAGTCCCCCAATTTACCAATCCAAAAACACTGGTGAAAAAAGAAGTAAAAAAATTATTTCAAATTTATCAGCCAGTAAGATCTTTACTGATAGCAATACATCGTAACATTTTTTGCAAAGGTTCTCATTGTGATAACAGGAAAGTATGTGAGTTAATGATCAAGCTGTCAACACAACAAAACAGTGAATGTCAGCTGCAGAAATCTACCACTAAATTGGAACTGTTATTTTGATTGTTAATGTTATGAACTCACAAAATTACTTTTATGTGAATTGTGCTCCTCGCTTCATTACAAAAATGGACAATAAGTCTACATGATATTAGGAACTGCTTGTATACCACCATGAATAGATAACTACACTAGCACTGGTACACCATTCTGTATTGAGCTCTTTAATGGTCTCAAGTTCAATTCTTTATTAATGTTGTAACAGCTTAACAGAGATTACAGGGATTCAGTTGGCTTTACTTTAAAATGCAGTTGTTCCTTGCAGGTGACAAATACTAACAAAGAGACAACCCTCAAATGGTGCATGGACAAGAAACCACTATCTAATGGACAATACGATAATCAAACTGGTTCAGGGACACTTGTAATTAAAAAGGTAAGTTTGAGGGAAAACTACTTAAAGTGACATTAAACCCTCAGATTTTTTAACATAAACCAATACTGTAATGCGTGCCTTACTGTAATCCATAGTTAGCTGAGTATCAGCTTGAGGTGGCGTGGGCTAGGGGTATGGCCGTGAGGGAGCTCCATCCATATGTGCATTGCTTACAGCTCCTTCGCATGCCCTGTGGAGGTGCCTGGATTGGAATGAGGTCATACAGGGCACACAAAACCAGGAGCTGCACAAGCAATGCACATATGGATAGAGCTCCGTCACAGCACAGCAGCCCACACTGGAACCCAGGCTCCACTCCAGTTCTCGTAAGGTAGGGAGACTAGATGGATCTTTAAAAAAAAAAAAGAAAAACATGTTTTTTTTTGAAGAGTGTATGTGTGTGTGTGAGAATGTCTCTGAGTGTGTGAGATTGTGTGTGTCTGTCAGTGTTTTTGAGGGCCCATTAATCACACAGTCCCATGCTATTAATGCACTATACCACGCCATTGCACCTACAATGTTTTCTGGTGCGGGAGGTACGTTGCCATTCATTTAAATGGTACACCAAATGCACCTCCCACGCACATTTCGATTGCCCGCACCGGAACGTGTGGTACCACAATACACCTTGCGTTCCAGTGCGGTGGGACTTGGGTCGTGATTTAATGACCAAGGACAAATGTGGGTCCTGAGGTTACACAGGTTGAGAACCACTGATATAGATGTTTCCTCTCACATCCTGTTGTATCTCTGGGACAGGAAGTGAAATCTCCCAAACAGAACACAAACAGTTTTACACCTACCCTAGTTTATACAAAATCTCACACAGTGGCCAGAGTCTCCAGTGATCCCACACTCCTCCATGCACACTGTTCCAATCAACAGGGCTGCTCAGGGAGTTTGAGCACTGTTGGCTAGAGTAGTGTTCAGGGGTGATGTGACTCTCCAGCATGCTGCTAGAACAGGGCATTTTAATCCTTACTGTATGTGCCATTTGAGGTAATTGTAGTTAAAACAGTGAGGATTTAATAAGGCTTTAAAGCATGATCTTTTCGTTTTTTATTCTTCCATCAGAAAAGCAATCCATGAAATAATGACATCCAACTTTTACTTCAACTTCTATGCTCGTTTGACAGATTCATTTTGTACATAATTATACCTAGGTTACAAATGAACATAAAGGACTTTACAAAGCTGTAGTAAAAGATAGCAGAGGAGAAGACACAACTGAAATGGATCTTACCAAGGAAGGTAGGTGATAATCATCGTTCTGCTGAAGGTTATGCAAGTTGATTTGCTGTGTAACTTCAAGGAAATAGTTGTATCCCTTTACCATACTCTCCATCCTCCTAGGCTATATAATGTAGTATACAATACTATATGGAAATGTTCGCATTGTGACTGTTGCTTTGGGGAGAAGTAATCCATTTTTGGGGTCCCAAGTATTTCCCCATGGTAATGTCTGGTGTGCCAGGCGAGGCTTCTTGCTTTTTTTGCAGGGAAGTTGCTTTTTAAATTTTAAAACATTTTAAGAAAAAAAAAACCAGATAAAATAACCTTTTATATGTTATGGTAAAACCACAGGTTCCACACTATAGAGTCCGAACAACTGTATGCACATTGATTGGTACTTGTTGGGATAGAAATTAAAAATACAGTAAATGTTACTAACGAATATCCAATAAATATGATACCTGGAAATGTGTGGTAAATCCATTGGCTTTTGAATAAGAAACATTCCTTTATTACATATACTTCATCTTTCTTGGAAGCCATAGAACCCCATGGATTTATACATACTGTTGATATTTCTAGCTTTGGAAACCTAAATCCTGTTGCACTAAGAAGATCAAATACCTTTCTTCAATGCACAAACATACAGTATTTTAGAATGCTACCTTTCTTTTTCTTTTTATAATTTCTTACATTTTGTTCTCTTTTTAACCATTTTTAGGTTTTGAAGATATAATGCATGAAATTTGTAGAATAAGTGGTAAGTGTTTAGGCACTGCATAGAAGAATGCTACTGCGAGTGAATGCAGTTAGTGTTATTAAACATTCTGGGGTCAAATTAGAATTTATTTTTGCCAAAGATTCACACAACTTTCAAGCAAGATTTACATTTTATTTTAAATTTGAAAAAAAAAAACTATATTTATTAGGGATGCACAGATACTTTTCGAGTACCAGTGCAGATACTTGGCATTTTCATGAGAACTACCAGGGTTGCAGCGGTTGCAGCTGGGACCTAGCTCTGGCACTCCACCACTGTCCTAAAATCATTAGTCTGTATTGTTTTAGAAAAACTGTCACATGACAATAAACAAAAATGTATCAGTGCTCGTACTTGTTAGTACTCGTACTCACAAAACTGGTATCTGTGCATCCCTTTATTTATATTTTGAAAAACAAAATCATACATTAAAACAGAGATGTACAAATCCCAGGAGCTCCGTGTGCTCCTTACAAATGACAGCTGCCTCCTAATTTTTGAATTTTTCTCTAGTGTAGTCTTGGAGCTCAAAAGTATCGGTACATGTACTCGTACTTGTACCGAGTACTGTACTTGGTATCTGTGCAACCCTAATATTTATTTAAAAACTAAAATATCCCTTTCTAAACTAACAGGAAAGAAAATGATGTCCCACACTAATATTACACAGCATGCTGTGGCCTGGGCACCCCACAAACATCAGCAGGGGAGCACAGGCCACAGCCCATCCCGTGACACTGCAGCAAAGGTTGCCTGGTTTCCAGAAAGCTACTCTACAGGATGCTCCTAAATGGTATTTGAGCCTGCAGTGGCCAATAGAACTACTACCCAAGGTGTGCCTCCAGCTAATGAGATTGTGGTCTGCATGGCTGGAAGGAACAAGGAGCTTACAAATGTTTCCGGCACTGTGTAGAGCAGGTGGAAGAGGCAGGGGAGGTGAGTGCTATTGGAAGGGGGTAGCAGGCAGTTTGCATTATAGAACTAACAGAAACTAGCATAGGTACATGAAAAGAAGTTAAGAAAAAGTAATTAAGGTAGAATAAGTATAGAAGATACTTCAAGAAATAGAGAGAGAGAGAGAGAGAGAGCGAGAGAGAGAGAGAGTGAGAGAGAGTGAGAGAGAGAGCGAGAGAGAGAGCGAGAGAGAGAGAGCGAGAGAGAGCGAGAGAGAGAGAGCGAGAGAGAGCGAGAGAGAGAGAGCGAGAGAGAGCGAGAGAGAGAGAGCGAGAGAGAGCGAGAGAGAGAGAGCGAGAGAGAGCGAGAGAGAGAGAGCGAGAGAGTACATCATACGGCAGGTTACGATATTGATGGAAATAGATTAAAAGAAGTTAGGCAGTAAGAAATAGAGGAGACAAATGATAAAATATTAAATAGTAAGAGAAGATATATAAATATTACAGGAATGAGAGAAAATATAAAGAACATGAATAGCTCTAGTGTCTGTATTAGCACTATAGAACAATTGGAAAAAAGAACAAAAGCTTATCTCCTGGAATAGTCAAGAAATATCTAAGTTATTATTGATGTCATTAAGGGTATCTCTGTAGGCAAGAGTGAAAAAAGGGCATCTCAGATGGAAACATGTTCTAGATTTTTATGTTGCTTAAAAACCAAAAACAAAACAACCTGCGAAGGGGAGGGAGGAGGGTCCTGTCAGGGAGGGGGGGCTGTCAGGTAGTCATGATTTGTAATGGCGGCCCCTGGGTGGAAATATGCCTCCAGTCCTAGGTCCATACCTTATCTAGTAGACAGGCCTCATTAATAGTCTCAGTTATCCACAGGTATACATGTGAGCTTAGGGCTCTCTCTCTCTCTGTTATGGGAGCCAACTGTTAGGTGATATGTGCTGCCTGTTCTGGGAAACTCATTAGGGGGCACTCTATTAATCAGGAAATTACATGAGTTTAGTGTGGACTCAGGTCGCCTAGGGTGGATTCTGGGAAGTACTATTACTGGATTGACAATGAGTTTAGTTGGTTGCTCCGACGAGCAGGTGTTTTGTTGGTTTTATGCTATGGACTTGCTGTACAAAGCCCTCCTGAATGGAATGCTGTTTTCTAAAGCACACCCTAAGACTGGAGAGTGATGATATAAAAAAAACTGGTGTTAACAGAAAAGGTGTTAACAAACGTTTTTTCTGTTGTCTGAAGCCCTGAATCTTAATGAGCATGAATGTAGTAGGACTGTTGCAAAACTGCTCATGAAGGGGACTTCTAACTAAACATTGAGGGCATTTTGCCAGAGCAGCACAGCTGCTTACCATTCTTCGTTTGTAGTACGATGGCCAAATATCAAATTTACCCCTAAGGAGACTATCTGCTTGAAATGTGTGCGTTCTTTCCCTCTTTGCCCCAATTTCCTCAAACAATCTAAAACACGTTAGTGGTTTAATTAATGTCTCACTAAGCTGGCTCTAGTCTGCTGTTCCTACTTGACCAGTCCCAAGCCATAATGGAGGAGCCATACGTCATTTTAAAATAGTCGCTGTTTCTATTTGTTTGCAGCTTCTAATTGGATTAAAATATTAAAAGTAAACCTTAAATGCAATTAGTATTTTTCTACTTCATTACACCATAAAATACAACCTATTAAGTTGTAAAAAAAAAGTAAATTAAAAATGTAGAAACTAAACATAAAATATCTTATACATTTATGACTAATTTATACTGGGTGGGACAGTAGGAATATATGGTATTTGACCGCTTATGTTCTCTTCTAAAAGCATTGTCTGCCTCCCCGCTGAAATGTAAAGGCACAGCTGAAGGAATTAAGATCTACAGCGATGTGAAATACTTCACAGAGAGCATGAATCCTGTATGGCACCACAAGTATGTTGAACAATATTCATATTCAAGGTCTCACTATTACAATTAACAATATAAGTGTACATTATTAGTCTCAGAGTACTCATGGTGGCTGGACTCCCTGACCTTCTTGTTTAAAAAGTATCTCGGGTATCTTCGGGCTGGAGCCTCCTTACCATCTTGTCTTGAATTGTATTGCAATTGTAATGTCTTCCTTTATATTGTAAGGTGCTGCGCAAACTGTTGGCGCTATATAAATCCTGTATAATAATATCTCAAAGGAGAGTGCCTAGAGCAGCATCTCAGATAATAACAATACCATCTGACATACTGTTTATACATGATGATCTTTTTAGTGACAGATCATTTAGAATTTACATTTCAGGCTAAAATATCCTATTGTGTTAAAGCAAACCTGTAATTACACGCTAGAAACTTGCCTGAACAAAATATCCAGTGCTTGCAACCCCAGGCTGCTTGCTAGTTTCAGGGCTGTGAATAGCTATTTGACTGGGTTGTAACTGATGAGACTGCCCTAGAACTAGTATCCTTACAAGGGGTTGGAGTTCCAAGAAAAGAGTTGCAGTCAGAATCTTCTCTCATATGTCATAATGACCAATGTATCAATATTTTTTAGAAGTTTGGATGATTTTAGTTATGTTACAAAATAAAAATCTTCCAGTATATTATTTGAAGAAAAACATTCATAATTCATTAACTTTTAAAGAAAAATCATGTAATTATGTGTTGCACACAGAGATAAGAAATTAAGCAGTACAGAGCGACTTAAATCAGGAAGCACAATGGAACAGGTTTGGCTGCACATAACAAATCCGATGGATTCAGATCGGGGCCTGTACACTCTGGAACTGTTTGATGGCAATGACATTCATAAGCGAACTCTTGACCTGAGTGGTAAAGGTAATATCAACTCATCCTAAAATGTTTAAGTTGTTACTGTTAGAATGGAAGTCATAGGCATTTATAATGGCAGGGTCAGGTGCTATTTGAAGGAACTTAAACTGTCTTAGCTCTTGCTATGTGAGCTAAAAGATATTGTAGCCCATGAGCCAAAATTTCATATATCACAGCTTATCACTCTTGAGGTTTGATAGCTGCATTTGATTTCAGAAACATTTTTAGCTAGTGTAGAAAATACTAATGATCTTGCCAGAACATTAAGGACTCGTTCATACCAGGGGCAGCATTATGCAGTGCAGTGGTAGGAACTGAACTCAAAGGATTCAAGGCAAATTGCCTTTTCTATACATTGGGATTGCCTTGGGTAATGCTGCCCAAGACAACCCAATGCATATGGTGTGAATGGGCCCATATTATCACACAGATGTGTTGGATCTACTTTGCACAAACTAAATGACTGATTATTTATATTAATACCATTCCCCTCTGGTTGGTTGTAACCCAACTCTAGCCAAAGCCTGAGGAAGGATCGGAGATTCTGTCAATCTTTAAATGTAAAGTGACCTTTCATTTCCTGTTTTGTATGAGACACTTTACTGGTCAAAATGTGGGGGGACTTTCCCAACAGGAACACAGATTGCATTAAAAATCTCACAGAGGCTCTGACCTCCCTCACTGTGTTACAGAAAAAAAGTATATTTTGAAATATTTAAGGGCACTCCAAGAAAAACAAGAAAGAGGAGGAGGCCAAAGAAGATATGGACTGTTGATATGGAAAATTACCTTAGAGAGATGAGAATTAAAAAATGGGTGTTATAAGCAATGGATACAATTAAGTGGAATAGGTTAAACATATTCAAAACTCCAGTGCTCTTCTACCGGTAAGTACAGTAGATTATCAAGCACACAAAATAGCAGAAATTAAAGTTCTCATAGGTTACCTGAGTAAAACCTTCAACAATATGTAAAAAAAGAGGCTGCCTCTTGATAGAGGAGGGATAAGGGTTTTTTAGAGCCATTATTGCCTAATCTTACCCCTATTATTGTTCATGCACTTGCCCAAGCAGTGCAGCAGGAAGGATTTTTTTTGGAACCAGTACACGATCCCTGTACAGCTTTTGACAGCTTGTCTTTCTGCTGCTATATTTGGGTAAGGGCCGTATTTGAAAAAACACAGGTGTATGCAAAGGTACATTTATCCTTTAAGAGGAAGGGTGTATCCTATAATATATATTTATAAATCAATTTCCACAAAATCAGAGATGATTATATAAATTAATTTAATGAAACTTACAACTGAAAATACATTTATTATGATGTGAGTCTTTTATATATACTTGTGTTTTTTTTAGTATTTGATGATGCAATAGGCGACCAACAGAAATGCAAGTAAGTATATACAATATATACTTTTTGATACCAATCTAACATTTAGACCTGGCTAAATAAAGTAACATTCCAAGCCAACACCTAAATTCACAAAATAAAATACATAATTAATCTGCTATCAAGGATTCGTAAATCTGCTGAGCCACTGTTGTCATGTACAGTATACATCTCTGCACATTGCACAGCCAGGATGATCACCCTGCTCCATCCGCGTTTGACTTTACCAATTCATGGTTCAGTACAAAGCACATAGACATATGACCACAGACATTGAATCTAGGAAATAACATGACCATCAAGAATATTGTTATGTTAAATCTCTAAACCTTTCTTATTCAAAGGTTTTAACAGTACATGTTCGAATTGCATAAGAGAACCATTGTCAATTGGTCTTGTTGCAAAAGGAACCTAAAACATGTATTTGTTAATAAGATGTTTCTGTAAAAATGTATGTTATTTAAAACTGCATATCAGCTTGTGAAACATACAATAATTTTACCTTCTATTTTCTAGGGAAGTTGAAATAATAGAAAAAAGTAAGTGAAAGTTAACATTTGATATAAACAAGGACCCCCAGCATTCATATGCAAATGTATTTCTAATAGAAAATAGAGTTGCTTACTACATTACTTTAATAGACAATGGCTTGCTTTACATCCGAAATGTTATTACCTTACCTGGTGGTCCATCATGTCTGCCCCTTTTTTATTTTTTGTTGGTTTTTTTGTGTTTGTTATTTGTTTTTAACCTTTTCAACTGAGTATAGATTGATTTTGTCTCAAGAATGTTTAAATTCACTTACTGTTGAGTGACTCCCTACCTCTACTTGAAGTCTAGTATAAGCATGAACTACTCTTTCCATCAAAAAAAAAAAAAATGCTTTTTAGGGTTAGTCTTTAATTTTTGTCCTGCTAGTTTAAGGTCATGTCCTTGTATCCTTCATCTTAACTCTTTATTGAAAATACTAACCTCCTGAACTATATTCACACCCTTATTGTATATAAGGGGTCATGTACCCGCTTCCCCTCTTTCCTCAAGACTAGTTCTTGCAGTCTCTCCTGATATGTTTTACCCTCATTTTGTTGCCCATCTCTGCACTCATTCTGTCTTATCAATATCTTTTTGCAAGTGAGGTCCCCAGAACTGGGCACAATATTCTAAACAAGGTCTAACTAAAGAACTATATGGGAGAATCAGGACCTCCTTACTCTTGCTGGTGATCCCTCTCAGTGATAAACACCAGAATTCTATTCACTTTCCCATTGTTAGGCCATACTGTTAGCTCATTTTGCAATCATCTAAAAAAAGCACCCCCAAAGATGTTTCATGCTACACACAGTACTCAGTGTAAAAGAAGAGACATGTGGAATTCTGTGGCTTGGTTGCCATAATGCAGACATCTCTGCTATGTTGTAAGTGAGAAGTGAAACATCCAGAGAGAAATATACATAACAAGGCAATCTGAGATTAACAAACCAAACAATATTTCAATAAATTAACCACTGCAGATTAGTATCATAGAGCTGTCTTTCAATAAGAGCCACCATCAAACTCATAAGGGTCTCCTTACCTGATGTCACAGATTCCCTTCCTTTCACTCTCATTTAGGGCTCGATTATACATATGCGTATGCAAAACTTAACGCATGTTGCCATTTGTTATATATGTCACCTTAATGCACATATGCAGTGTAAAGAATCTCACGGCCTTCAGCACACCACAACGTACAGATGTGATTGCACAATTGCAAAGATGTGAAGGGTGCATTAACAGAGAACCATCTTTAACTTCCTATATTGGGTTCTCCTATTCATCCTTATTAAACTTTAAGAAATACAGAAAACTCCCTGCTGTACAACATACAGAAAAATCCTCTTTAAAGAAGAACTTTGGGCATGTAAAAAATTAACCCTTGCAGTGGGGTTACCCCTGCACTACAAGGGTTAAGTGGTTCTTTTGGTCTGGGGCCTAAATCAAAGATGATACATTCACCTGATCCTCGGTCCTATGGAGGTGACTGCTCACCTCTCCCCCCTCTCCGCTCCGGCTGTGACATGTTCCTCGGCGTCCTCAGGTCCAATGCAAGTCAATGGACGTGATGGCATCATGAATCCTTAGGCCGCTAGAGTCTAGGGGAGAAGGGGCTGTGGGGGTCAGTCTGTCAGCCAGACGTGACCAGGAATCGGGGGAGTATATCTTTTTTATTTTAGATCCTAGACAATAACAAGCACTTAACCCTTGGAATGTAGCCCCACTGTAAGGGTTAATTGTTGCCCAAAGTTGTTAAAAGTGCAGGAAAACAACTTAAGTGAGTGGATAAGCAACACACATACAAAGCAATATCAGTGTAGATACATAGTTAGTCAGGTTGAAAAAAAAGAGACAAGTTCATCGAGTTCAACCTATAGAGATAAGAGGAGATAAGAAGAGAAAAAAAGACTAAACAGAACACTATGCCCACAATTACCCACTGTTGATCCAGAGGAAGGTAAAAAAAACCCTATTAGGCATAGTTCAATTTGCTCCAACAGGGAAAAAAATTCCTTCCTGACCCCGTTAGGCAATCGGATATTCCCTGCATCAACAATCTCTGATGCTTAATATACCTATAAGAGCTCAATATCTCTTCTTTCTGTTTTGCCAAAACCCATTCTGGATACCCGCAAGTTATAAGGGCCCCCCTGAGGTGTTTAAATTCCTTCGTCTTGGCCTCTGTTTTGGTGGTAATTTTCTCTGCCTTGTGGTGTAGAGTTCTGATGACTCCCAGTTTGTGGTCTAGAGGGTGGTGGGAGTCAAATAGCAGGTACTGGTCCTGCAAGCACCACTCGTTCAAAGATTTTCCAACCAGCTCCATCGATCTTCTGTTGGCACCCACTGTGCAAATTTCAGCCAGTTCATGAAGAGCAGGCCAACATTCGCATAGTGTATGGTCAGCTGTAGTGAAAGGAGAAGTATCTCAGTGACAATAATGATACAATGGGGTAGACTACTATTGACAGTATAAATCACAGTTCCCACCTTTGAATATCACAGAGATGAACAATTGTGTCACTGGGCCCCATTTCCACTAACCTATCACCCAGGCCCACCACATAAGTACCTGTAGGATCCAGTATTCTGACTACTGTAGGGGGAAAAAATGTGAGCTCACACGTACTCTTGTAATTTGTGTCTTTATACTACTTCCAGATCGTGCTAAAGTGGTCCGAGGTCTTCCAGATCTGGCAACAATAATGATGGACAAGGTATGTTTAATAATGGTCATTGCCTTGTAGCGTATAATATATGTTCATGCCATAATATTTATTGTCATAAATGGTGTATAGATAATATATTGATGATAACACTATGCACAAAATCTAGAGTATCTACAATTTGGAGCAAAGCTCTTCTTACAAATTTATTTTTAAAAAACAGTACTTCAATTGACTATGATGGAAAGGCAGCACGGTAAATATCATTTAGCCAATATAGCTTTTTTATTAAATGTAACAGAAAAATAGTACAGCAAATTTTAATTAACATATTTCTACCATTATACATCACACATGACCACTCTGACCAATAAGGATAACAATAGAAGAGATGATCATTGGTCTCATTGGACCACTCGCTATTGCAAGTATTATGCTGCTATACAAGCTATAAAGTTTTCAGGTGTCGGGACTGTCATCCCAGCTGGTGCGGGTGGCAGGTGATGTTCATCCTTTCAGCTAAATGCAGCAGGGACCAGAGGGCTGAGGAGGGGTTGTGAGTTAGTTCACCATTTATTTCTAACTAAGCCATAGCTGCAGAGTGATATTCGGATCCAGAGCCATGGCACAGTCCTCGATGTGACCCAGTATCTGAAGACCCACTTAGTGGAAGCGTCAGAAGCTGCTTCACTATCCGCAATGTTGGGCCTCATTGAAAAAAAATCTCACAACTTCCAGTTTTACTACAGTAAGTGTTAAGGATAGGGGACTGAGCTCTGGTGTCATCCTTATCTGGTAGGGAGTTTCACCTCATCCATTCAGATTTGGTTGTTGATGCTTCAGGCAACTACTGAGCTGCAGGCAGTTCCCAGTCGTCCTAGTGAAGGTCTGTAGTTTTTTTTTTTTTCTGTGCTGCCCCCTCTTTAGCTTTCTGCTTTTAGGCATCCTGACTGTATCTGAATTCCTGTTTCCCACAACGGACGAGAAATAAAATTGTATTTTTTTACCATAAAATAAACTAAGGCATGCTAGGTATAAAGGAGGAGTTATACTTGGGGCTGGCTTTTTCTGTTTGTCAATGTCCTATTCCCCTGTATGTGGCAGTATAACCCAACTGTATCTAACTTCCTGTGTCACAAAAAGGGTACTAAAATCAAATTTGTTCCTCTGCTAGCTGAGTTAATTATCAGGTCAGTCTCCTACACTGACAAAAAAAATGTATAAGCAGACACTTCCACTTGATGCAAAAGGAACATGTGTTCATGCCAGTTCATATAATGCATCTGGTGAGCCTACTAATGTTGCTGCTCCACTGCTAGGGTGGACAATTGAAAACAATTGGGACTACAGCTTCAGCATTATCAAGTATGACAAAGTGTATGATCGTATAAAAAAAACAGACAAAAAAGACAACGTGAAAAGAAAATATTTGCCCAAGTGGTTGATTATTAATCCAGTCAGCTCAATGCAAGCATTAAGGAATTCTTGCATTATGGGACATGTACAAGTGGATAGCACTCTTGCCTTGTAGCTTTAGGTCCGAATCGCATTGGGGACTGAATGTTCATTTAGTCTGTATGCTTAAAAAAATCAGGTTGTATATTTCATTAAAACATATGACATATTTTTGAGTATTGTGGGGAAAGTGAGGTATAATCTCCTTCAGGGGCAGGTAAGGATATACATTATTCTATGCTCCTGTAATATGTTGATGCTATAGAAAATATTTAAATAGATATACCTATAATATACATTGATAGTCTATGGTGTGGTTTAACTCTGTTTTTAAGCCATGCTCCTCCCCCTTTTTTTGGTTTAATATAACTTTTATTATTTCACATAAACACACTTATACATATCTTCAAATATAGAGATATTACAACATAGTTTTATCCCATAAACTATACATCTCTCCATATAAAAATATCTACTACATTGCTTTTACTTTTACATTGTCTTTCATATCACATCCTGCAATCACAGCAAGTCCTCAATTTTCCAGATTTAGTGATGATAAGTGTCATGCAAACCAGAAGGCTAAGGACATCTTGTGTAGGAGATTAACTACTGTGGGTGGCAGTGCCAGAGAGGAGGTGAATATTGTAGCCTAGGCAGTTATTTTTAACATCTAGGAGGCATAGTTTAGTAAGATAAAAACTGATCTGGAGTTGGGCTTTACATAATTTCATTGTGTGTTATTTAAGAAAATAGTTTATATTGTACACATTTTTCCTTGAAAAGGTTGAACTTGCATACTGTATGTGACATTTTTTGTTGCTTGTATTGCTAGACTTTGTGTTTGACATGCCACATATCTGGAGACCCTGCTCCTGAAGTCTCCTGGCTAAAGAATGAGAAGAAAGTGATATTCAAAGATCGTTACAAACTTGATGTGAAGGGTACTGTGGTAACTATGACCATAGAGAAGATCTGTGCTGAAGATTCAGGCCGATATTGTATAACTGTGAAAAATAAATATGGATCAGAAGTTGGGCAGGTGACTGTAAGTGTATTTAAGCATGGTGAGGAGCCGGAAGAACTGAAGAACTCAATGAACATAACTGCAAATCTAGAGTCGCTGATGACACCATGAGTAGGCAAAGTTGTAACCTTTTATCCCAAAAAATGTGTAAGATCTGTGGAAAGATCAGAATGATTATCTTGAAATAAAAAATATGCTGTGCATATTAGCGTTTGTTTTCATTTCTCCATTTAGGACATTCTTTGCTAGTTTTAGCACTTTAGTGAACTGAAATTAATGCAATAACTTAGAGGTTGGGTTATAGGTTTAGTGCATATAACACTTTTAGTAGTTACATGGTCATTTTTTTTATAGAGGTCTATATATAAGGCCAAAATGAAGAAAAAACTAAGAAGGAACAAGGAGACAGAGGGATTTGGCTCTAAGAAAGTGGCAGTCCTTCCGCATAAGAGACCGTTAAGAGCTATGCAGTATGGCTGGCAACAATTTCAGACAGAAAGTAAGGAAGAATCTGCAACAGGGACACAGGCAGCAATAAATAGCCTACAGGGGTTCTTGCCTTCCCTACCATACTTTAAACACTATATTTCTGTCTTTGCTGTTGCTGGAGATGTATCCTTACTTCCTGTCTGGCCAAACAGTAAGTGAGGGTAAGCCTCTCTAATGAGCCTGGATAGCAATAAAACCAGACAGGGGTTCTAAACCTTCCTAAACATTTTAGCTGGACATACAATTTTATTCACTAAGCTGACAATCATTATTAGCCATTATGACCATAATCAGCAGTGACAGCCAATGAGAGCTGCAAAAAATCACAAGACTGACAACCATCATCATGGCCAATAACATTTAGCTTAGTGAATTGTAGCATGACTTTAGTAAGTGATGCCGAATGTGAAAGTAATCTGACTTAGAACATTTTTTCATTCTGACACTATCTGAGGTATATAAATGAGGTGTATATAAATATACAATCATGAGCCTTCTGTAATACAGGCCAAAGGTCAAAATTCAGATTTCTCAAACTCCCTTTAGAGCAGAATTAAAACTACATACAATTTAATTATATGCACCAATGTGTTGATGTAATATACATGTAAAAATACATAGACAAATACTCAGAAGTATCCATGAAAAGCCCAGAGCTTACTGTGGAAATTGTGCTACTAATATCAGCAATCATCACAGGCTCTAAATGCATACTTGTATTTGGAGCTTTTCATTTTTTTGTTCCAGGGTTGTGGCCTTGTCATTGTCAAGCAATAGAGGTCAGTGAACTTTGTATGACACAAGCCACCACTGTAAGGTTAGTAACCTGGACTTCATTCAAAAAAAAAGTCTGTAAGGCCACAGCATATCAGTTACCACTCTTACTCTTTCTTTCTGTTGCATTTGTCATTGTCAGTTCTGCAAGGTCAGCAATCTGGGCTTTATTCACAAACCTAAAATTCAGTGTCTCAGTTACACAGATTCATTTGCATTCATTGAATTCCCCATGTAACAAGGATAGTTGTTTCATACACACACTATATTTCTGCTTCCTTTTTAGCAAGAGTTTATGAGATTCGCATTTAATTTTCTTTATTTTAATAGTGGTCTTCTATTATGTCATTTCCCTGCCACACTCAAGACAATATGGCCAGTAATTTCAGCTGCCTAGGACCCCATTCAGAGAAGCCCATTGCAGTATAAGTAGCAACACTACTCTTCAACCAATGTGCAAGGATCAAGCATTATTTACCTACAATTAGCCTTCCATTTCCTTAAAATAAACTTTAAATTCCATGTCATGTGTCCTTCACAACACTGCACTTCTGTCTAACATTATTGGCTACTGGTCACAGTCGACTTGCGAAAAAATGTCATATTACAGTAATATATGCCACCAGTAATATATTACATTTGAGTCTTTGCAGCTAAAGAGCGTAGCATGGGGAGTGTGTTTTCAGGGTTTTTTTTATCCGGCTAAATGACACCACTGGCTTTGCTCATACAGAGTGCAGAAGGGTGATTCGGCATTACTTGACAGTCTGTATCAGTATGCAAACCGCTGCTGGTAATGCTCAGCTGTAGGAATACACCAATACGGATACTTGTATCGTGCCGATACTGAGTATTTGGGCAAGTACTTGTACTCGTCCAAATACTCCGATACTTACCCCGATACCGGAACTTACGGTCAGAGAGAGATTCCTTCTAGCCGGCAGTGCCACGAGGGAGAATGGAGCCGGCTTCCCGGCCACTCAGGAAGCAAGGCGGTGGGTCAGGATTGGCTAGGAAGCCGGCTTCACTTGTTGATAGGCAACCTGACTTCTCTGTTATTTTAGCTCCCTAGGCAAAATGAGCACATACATAGAAGACAAAATCAACAAAGCGCCACCTCCCTGTGTGTAATCTTTTTTTATTTGAATAATAAAAACGGTTATAAATACTCACAATTATAACATTTCAGTCACGCTTGTCAATAAGAGACTACAAGATTAAAATCCAGCCTAAAAGCAGCCGGTGCCTCGATGGTATGGTGATGTGACCAGAGGCAGCTTTTTATACGCAGTTGGAGCGGAACATTCCTCAGACACTGATCTTGTGGTCTGTTATTGACAAGCGTGACTGAAATGTTATAATTGTGAGTATTTATAACCGTTTTTATTATTCAAATAAAAAAAGATTTCACACAAGGAGGTGGCGCTTTGTTGCTTTTGTCTTCTGTGTATCTGATGAGAACCCCAGAGTCTCTTTGACGAGCAGCCTCTCCAAAAGCTGTGGATATTTACAAGAAAGATTATTCCTGGAGGATTGTGTGATGGTAATCATTAGCACCAAGAGTTAAATTGACTTTTAAAATGAGCACATAACCCGTGCAGTATGGGGGTAGCCCCACTGCAAGGGTTAAGATTTTATTTGCAAAGAGTTCCTCTTTAATTAAACAGGACCACATATCTGCGTCACTGAATTTCCTTCTTGCATTGTACTCTTCTTATGTTTTTTTCTGTCAAGTAAAAAGTGAAACTTGATTGGTCACTTAAGACAGATCTTCACTTTTGTGCTTTTAGTTCCAGTGAGAAGCCTGATAATGTTCAGTGAATCCTGGGAGAGCAATGCCCACCAAAGGCTCCTGCCACCTTGCACGACAATCTGTAAGTAATATCTTACTATCTCTGGTGGCTCATGTTACTTACTTATGCTTACAGTAGTCTTTTGCTGAACTACAGAAGTGCTCCCCTCTCCACAAAATAGAAAGTAATTGTTTCAAGGTCCAAGATAAGTATTGGGAATGATGATTAGACTCCTTGAGATAACACAGGCAGAGTGAACAAATTCTGAAATCACCAAAAGGTATTTTTGGCACTATTTTTCCTTGCTCCAGCAGGCTCCCTCATTCGTGTAACTGGTCCCTCTTTGTTATGGTGCTCCCAGCTGGTGTTCACACGCTGATGTCATCAAGTCAATATCTCTGCATTGTATGCGAGGATGGTGAGGGACCATACACAACCCTTCAGGTTGCATCAAGGCAAAGGGCTAAGCACCAAAGCCTGCCGGAGCAAAGAATAAGGTAAGTATTACACCTTATTCCTTGCAGTGGGGCCCCCAGCACAGCTAGGTACCTTTTTTATTCCCAGAGTTGAGTTTTAGCAAAAAGGGAACAAATAGGAGAAATTCAGTATTAGGGTTTAAATACACTTTCAGGTCTATTCTCAAAGGGGTTAAGAGTTTGGAGAAGGCAGGAGAAGTGAACAATCTACGACAACATAGCTGAACTGGAAAGTGAGCTGAATTGGAGAATGTTTCCAGTTCAGCTGTGTTCTGATAGATTCTGATTGTTTGATACAATTATGTTACTACAGTTATGATAAATCCATCATAACTGGAATTTGCCTTTTCCAAAGACAAATTCCAAAAACAAAAACATGACCATCACCTCATCCAGCCAGTTTCGATTGAAATTGAAAATGATCATTCTGTATATCTATGGTCACTAATAAGAAAATGTCCAGCCATCCTGGGACAGCTATTTGTAGGTAATAAATACATCAAATAGATTTTGCTGCCACAATGCTATTGTTTTTTCCAGAGCTAAATCTGTACAATGGATATCTTTCTACAATTCACCTTCTATTCTTAAAGTTTATGCCAAGTCATGTTGTAGCTTTGGATTGAGTGGGGGAGGATTAGAAATCCTGTGTTTTTTTTGCTATCCATGGCTCCATTAGAGAGTTTTCTTCCTCAGTTTTGCCAAACAAAGAACTAAAGGAAAATATAATGAATCTAATTTAATTGAAGTTACCGTTACCTGTTTAACAGTTGTCATTATGGCTTCATGCATACTGTTCGTTGTCCTTCGGAGTAACATTTTTTTGGGCTGTCAGACTAAAATATTACATAATATTCAGCAATGCAGACAATACTTGACAGTGAACTGTGGGTCATTTCCATGACCATCAAACAAACCATTAATAATTGATAACCACTGGGTTAATAATTATGGCATGCATTGCCTAAGTAAGTATGTCTAGACAGATATATAGTGCCTTAGCGAAAGAAAAGTACTATCACTCCTGTCACTCCTAAACAAGAGCATCCCGATCCATCGCAAGATTTACTATGGCATTCAATGGGACCTGGAACGTCTATGCTCAGGAGAACTATGAAAATTTCTTGAGGACTGTGGGTAAGAATTATATTTACTGACATGCACAGGAAACTCTATGAATTGCAAATATCACAATTTATGAGAGATAAAGGCATAAATAACGATACCATACTGTGTTACAAAAATCACAGTAGCTGAACGATTGCTATTGGTAATATGATTATTTATATTTTACAGATTGTAGAAATAGTTGTATTATACTATATTATATAATGATTTACAATTGAGACATGTGCACGTTGTGTACTTGTGAAACAGCAAAACATTAGATTTCTGTTCCTATAGCGCTATTACATTAAGTGCCATGATGTCCTGATCAGTGGCATCAAGCTCCAACGTTTTGATTGCTGCCAGTCCTGCTATGATGTACTGTGAAGAGACAGAGCAGTGATCCAGCTGAGGGGAATGAGACAGGGTGAGATATTTCTTCAGCAACACTAAAAAGAAAGGTTCTTGTGTT